AGTCAACTTCTTCGACTTTGAAAAGGCCTTCCACAGCATTGAATGCGAAGTAATTCGGTAACTACTCCAACACTATGGCGTTCAGTGCAACAAACCTTTATCAACCCCCTTCAACAGCTACGTGACAGATGAACGTGTTGAGTAACCAACAACGGAAAACTCAGTGACGTCTCTAAGGTGAAGACAGGAGTAGAACAAGGCTGTCCAATGCCATTGACGGTAATCCTCATTCTGATGGAATGGATTATACAGGTGGTTGCTGGGAGAAGAAATGATTAAAGACAGGAATACGATAGACCGATAAGAAGACTCTAGAAGATCTTTAATTCAAGGATGATTTATCTCTAAAGTCACACAAACTCTAATATTTACAGCCAAAAACCAACAAACTGGCAGAACAGGCTGGCTGCAAAGGCACAACTTCAAGTGGACATGGAGAAGATGGAATTGATGAAAATATCCACGAATTAATAACAGTGAGCACCAATCACCACCAACGGAAGAAACTTTAATGATGTCATCACTTCCTTCGCTTGTCTAGGAAGCATCATTTCAACTACAGGCAAACGAAACGCATGAGAATGTCAAATCCAGCCATGATCGGAAAGGCGAGACAGGCCTTCATCACTCTGAAATCAGTTTGCCATTCTGTTCTGCTTAGCTTAAAGAACTAAATTCGGATTTTCAAAACCAGTCAATTCTTCCATATGGGTCGGAAACGTAACCAGGTTATAACAAAATTCTGTGAACATCAGCCTTCTCCCCTTATTGAAGATCAAGTGACCAGAAAGAATTAGTAACAAGAAACTCTTGGAGCTAGCCAACGATGAACCTATTGCTCAGCAGATAATCTGGAGAAAATGGAGATGGATTGGATACTCTGTCAAGTAGAACACGACTGGGAAATAACCAAATGGGCATCTGAGTTTGGCAAGGAGTGGGGGAGTGGGGGAAGATGAATGACTATGTGTGATCGTGATGCCATCTGAAGAGACTACAGAGAACAGGATAACATGGAGATATGTTGTTGACGTCCTGTTTTCCACCTGGAATTCACGGGAACCATAAAAATTAAAACCTCAAGCCAATAAAGATTAATATTCGAAATGATTAGAGAAATTTCGTTACATTTCTTTTTAATTAACCTTATTGTTTTGTTATTTCATTATTCTGTCAGTTATTTCATTTACGAGAGAGACAAAGAAATGAATCTACCCTGTTGATTATACATTAATGAATTTTGTTTCCGGTATTTCTGCCTACTCACTTCTTTCTGTTATTTTTTGTTTCATGATTGTAAGCATTATTATCCGTATTACTATTCTGAGTTGTAATCAATAACAGAACTTGTCAGATGTGCCCACCATTCGGTTAAACATTGATTACTCATATATCGTTGTATTATAATTGTTATTATTGTTGTTGCTGTTGTTCTTGTTGGTATTACTGATAGTAATGTTAAGGTCTTGTTTAAAGACAGGTTACAAATGGGTAAACAATTTGTTTACATAATTTTCTCCTTTCTTAGACTAGTGATTTTCATTTTATTGTAATGAATAAAAACTGTGAAAGGACATAATAGTAGAAATTGTGTTGATAGCAAAAAGAAGGAAGTGATAGGATTTACATTGTGGAATAATTAATGTATTTAAGGTTGAGTATTGTTGTAGAGTGTGTGCGCCTCTTCTTGATATAACGTGGTTGACATTTTCTGGCTAACTGTGTCCTCGTTTCACCAGAAACTTCCATCCCTACAATAGCACCTCACCTTCCGACCCACAATAAACTCGTTTTCTACCATTCCGATCAACCTGCTGACGTATAATGTCAATTGAACTCGTCCTCAACGTATGTAGAATCCACCTGCATTTTCTCTGTATATTTTTCTAGGGGTATAAGCCCCTGATGGTTTCTCTATCTTAGTTCCTTGTTACTTATCCTTCCTTGTCAGCCATCTGATCTGCAGTCTCCGGCCATGGCAACCGTCAATGAAAGTCTGCATTAGGCTGTTTGGTGACACCCATGCCAAACCTCTGAACGATACAGAAACACTCATTGACTACACATTAGTGTTGCAAATTTATATCTTCTTCCTTATACGGAGTGCAGTAGACTTCTACATTTCTTGACCTGACATCCTCATATGAGCCGGGTTTAACTGGGATGACACTGACAGAGTTGGGTAAGTGAAATAGGCAACTTCCTTTTCGACTACTCCCGTTGACAGCAGCTGGTGTTTGTTGTTCTCAACTGTGGATCTCCATCGTCCCTATTTTCTCCATGTTCACCTGAAATCCTGTCTTTGCTGCTGCTACCGACAACTTGTTTATGGGACACCAGATAAAAATCATCCATGAAATTTAGATCCTTCATGGTCTTTTTGGATATCCGATGTATTTCCATTTTTTTAATCCCCAAGGGCTGTTGAATGATCCAGTATACCACAATCAGGAATACGATTGCTGATAGTAGGCAGTCTTGTCTTACTCGTGTCTTCACCATAAATGCCTCGATGTATTACTTGGCATGCGGCACTCCATAGTGTTAAAGCAGCCTATAAATTACATAAGCGTGTATAAATGTTCATATATTCGTCATCTAAACATTGATTTTTTGAGTATCGTTGTTAACATAACAGTAGTTTCGGCTGTGACAAGTCTAATGAAGGTTAATTAGGAAGTATAAAGGAAGTATAGTATAAATTTCACATCCTACTATGAAAAAATGATTAAATCTATGTTAAACCATGCTTTTGTTTAAAATAACTGAAGAAAAATAGTAAAATTTCAAGGTTACAGGATAAATAATGCATTAGTTTGTTGACATGGTGATTTAAATGTGTTCTGTGTGTCTATAAAATAAGTAATGATAATATAATGTCTATATTTGTCAAAGATAATTTACATTGTTCTTCCTGTTCATTTGAAGCAAAGACTTTAAAATACTTCAGGTCATATTTTCAGTACAATTTGAATTGACTAGAAAAAACGGGGTCTGTTTAACTGTTTCGTAAAATAAGTATAAGTACAACTCAAAAAAGTGTGGTAATTTATTTAAACCTTTATCAAGTGTACACTATGAGTATCACAGATTGTTATTCACCTGATGAGCGGCGGTTAACGTTGAAATGAAAATCTGAGTTACGGCAGAATCCGCACCAGCCTATGATCCATGCAGTTGGCCGATCCATCTGCGAAGGATTCCTGTCAACCAGACTATTATATTAATAATTTTATTATTCCCCTGGATTCTGAGTTCTCTGTAGTTTCCTCCAACTGGCCCCACGACTGCCCATTAGCTTTCATCTCATCGTCACATGATCGCCTCCATTTCAACCTCGGACCCATACCCAACTCGTCATTCCCCCTTGGGTTCTACTGGGGCGATGACCTGAGCTACGATGATCTCTTCATCGTTTGACTTATCCACACCCATTATCTTCGGCATATTTGCTGAGCAATATGTTCTTGGTTGTTCTGCTTCCAAAGCTGGCTAGTTTTGTGATAATAGACTGTTGACTGATACTATATTTCACAGTGATCCTATCCTGGCACTTGTCAAAGACATGCGGAGTCAGTCGGCACACATCAAAATCCTATCCTTTATTCTTAACAGATTGACAGTCCCACAGTCGATGACAGTGACTGCGGTGAAGTGGTGATCTGCTTAACAACTGCATCTTAGCTTATCTAATACAGCGCCAAGGTGGCCTAGCTGAAAAAATGCCGTTTTAAATCTTGCTTTAACCGAGATTTTCATTGTACCTTCGGTCATCATCCATTAGTAGTCTGCCGAACACAAGCAATACCTCATAAAATCTCACTACAATTTCTTATAAGGATCATAGGTCAAGTAGACAAAATGATGAATTGTTAAGTACCATTAATAAGGATTTATAAGCCAATGGATGATTGATAATATATTTTTCTACAGGTCTAACAGAACTTTTCAACAATTACTTGAAGTAGTCGCAATGGAGAACGCTTGAGGATACAGGAAAAGGGAAGAAACACCCCACTGGTAATACAAGCGTTAGATTATGAATGTTTATTGGCATTAGAACTAATTTCAACCAAGGTTTTGTCTCAAATCAACATCAGTTAGAGATAACTGAAAACCAGGGATCTGTGGTTAGCTGTTTTGTCCTATCTTTTGGGACTCTTTAGTAGTATGCAGCTATAACCTCATGCGCCGGCGGTACAGCGGTAAGGCCGCTCTCCAACCATGCACATGGTCCGGTATTCGACCCCCCGCCACAGACTCACTCCTTTACCGCGCCAAGCCAGAAATAAACCTGTTGAAGAGGAAAGGTTGGGAATGAGGCTAGCAACCCCATACTGTAAAATAAAAACACTGCTACAGAAACTTCAAGCCACTAGCTTGAGGCCTTATGTTCCACTGGGAACGTGAAGGAAAAAAAGTAGTATGCACCTATAACCTCACCAAGAATTAAACTTGAAACCTTCAGGTAACGAAACAAAGATCTTTAACCATACAGTCATCGAATTCCTGTCCTGATGGCTGTATGGTCAACGAGCCTTGTATCGTAACCTGAAAGTCCCGGGTTCGATTCCTAGAAGGGCCACTGAAGAGTCGCAAAATAGGACAAAATCGCCATCCAGTACTCCATTGTTTATCAATTATCACCAACTGTGGTTGGTTCTTGGCAAAGTCTATACTGACGTATTACTTAGGATTTTTGAAATAACTAATTCTATGTTAGCTGTGATAATACCGATCTAGGATACCTTAAGCACTTATCATTGATTCCTTTACAAAAGATTAACTAACCCCTACAATATGCTGAGCCATTACGGATTAGACACTTGGCACGTACATACTTTAACGGTTTGAAAGGAAACCTGTTTGACAGAGCGGTTCGTAGTGAACTAGTCATTCACTCCACTGAAATAACAATATCCACTGAACACTAATCATTACTCTAATAACAAATTAAGATTGAAATCTGAAAAAAAAAATTTTTAATGGATATTACTCACCACTACGAAACTCCTTGTTTTGATTAGATTTTATTGGTAAGGATGATCTGGCTGGTGGTAATGATACTGGGGTAACAGGTAACTTGAACACCCCACCAGGTAGTAGAGTTAATTCTTTCTGACTCCCATCAATACGCCCATCATTATTCTCCAGTGAATAAGTAATCCATTCATATCGTTTACCTCTTTCTAAATTAGGCAAACACTCATCCGCATTTCTGTTATTATTATTAGCATTACTAATCCCATCACTGCTTATTGGTGTATCTCTTGACTGAATCTTATTCACATGAACTAATTCATTTAGATGGATTTGTTGAACACTACCAACTGGTTGTCGTAGAATTTTTGTGATTTTAACAAAAGCATTTAAATTATCATAATTTTTACCATCATTATTATTTAATATTACGCCTTTATCGATTTGTATAATTTCACCTTCAAATCTATACGTATTTTTTGAATTTGATAATGCTATCAACTGTTCACGACTTAAACAAATCCATGTAGATGCTGTAGTCTGTTGATTTGTAACAATTAGGCTGATAAAACTAAAGATAACAGTAATATATGCAGTGTATAACACAATAGATGATGCCGTTGATAACAAGGGATATGATGTAATCCTCATTATTATCAAGATTTAGGTCAAATCTTCTTTTGTCATGAGTATAAATTCCAGGATCATGAAAATCGAGTTTATTTAGCAAATTGAAGAATTTCTATTTTTGACTATTCATTGAAATCTTTTTTTTCTTGTTGTTGTTCAAGTGGAGAAGCGAAAACAGGATCTCACTCTTTTTTGTTCTTTATATAATTTTAAATAAACGTGTTGATGTTATTAAATCCAAACGACTGTTGAACATTGATCACTGAACATAAATTAAAATAGATCCTTGCTATAATAATAATTAATATTATTATTGAGATTTAGTTTGAATTATTGGTTGAGTACATTTTAAAGTGTTTTTTTCTTTCTTTAAAATGAAAATATACATTTTATATAATATTTTTAAACATTCATTGTTTTATTACTCAACATTGTTTAGACATAATAATGTATGAATGCATACAGATACACAGAGATCTGCGCATAAATGCACATTTATAAGTTAACTGGCAGCATAGATATAGATAGATAGATAGAAGTGCAGATAGACAGACAGGTAGGCAGATAGACAGACGTACACAGACTCAATTTATTAATAATATATATATATACATATTATCTTATACATAAAATTGTAGAAATATGTGGGTGTTTAAAATATTTCAAATTTTTACTTTAATACGCACATATGCACAAATAGTATACTTGTACACAAAAATGTATCATCTTTCTTCAAATTGATTGTTTGTTATATACATATAAAATCCACTTTAGCTTCTATTCTGATTTGCTTACCTTGAAAATTGCACTGTTCACCACAGTAGAGTGAGTACCTTTATTAGTTTCTCTAACAGACTAAAATTCCAAAACGATAAAAAAGTATTCAGCGAATGGTATTATAAATAAATCGAAATTTTATTTCATTTGACTTTTTGTTGCTGTTCTTGTTGTTGAGATTTCTTCATTTTCTAACTGACAACAAAAATAAAACGTCTTTTCAAATCACAAAAAATAAATGTATAATACATTATAATCATCAAAGTCGAATGATGAAATTATCATCAAGTGGAGTGCTTTTAAAAAAAAGTATGTATTTGTGCATGTATTATGCGTAATTGTTTATCATATAAACAAAACTCGACACACACACACAGATAAAAACACTCAGAGATACTCAGTAAATTAGATATCAATAAAACTTCAAGTAGTAATGCGGTTATGATGAGTACACAAACAAATAACCGTATATATATAACATAAATTCAGGTGTTCTGTGATATATTGTGTAGATTTCAAAAATCCTTCAATTTCATTGGTTAAGTAGGTGAAATCGAATATGAGTATTTAGTCCTAGAATTGAGTGAGGGCGTATGTGCATATATATATGCTTGCTAGTGACTGGCTGCAGGACGAAGTTGCCTGGAGATCTATTGAGAATTCATGACCAGTAGGGTCCATCCAGTCAGGATTGAGTACTGATTTCCCGCCCATGATATTGGTTGGTAGTCGTGCTAAAAAATTTCGAATTTAGAGAAGCAAGAATTCATGGACAATTGAATAGAGTCCCAGTAGCTGAATGGTACATGAACTTGCCTTGTGATCGGAAGGTCATGAGTTCGAAAACCCAGTGGGTGCGTACTGCCGATGATTCCCAAACTAAGATGAAACAGGTGTCCAGTACTTCCTGGTTTTATCAGTGGTTCACTAACTGATATTAATCCATGGTCGCACCTAATATATATATATAAGTTTCTGAACTTCCCAAATGACACTTTTGTTGCAGAAATGGTGTCGCAATTTTCCAGGAATAGTTAACTTTCCATCCTTACAGGGTTGGGTGATAGGAATAATAGTGATATTCTTTATTCACTAACAGGACTTATGATACAACGTAGGATTCTCACTATTCACTCAAAAATAAATTACCTCATGCACGTAACTAAAACTGATAACGGAAACTCCTTCGGTTTACACAGCAACAATAAAGTCAAAAATGTACAAAAAGTATTTATTATTATATTATTATTACTTCCTTTAATTCCTAGAGGAACATAGGGCTTCAGCCGCGCGTCTCCATTGCCTTCGCTTCTCTGCTAGAGTTTCCACATGGCTCCAAGTCTGCTCACATGCTTTCATCTCCTCTTCACATGACCTCCTCCAAGTCACCCTCGCACTGACGACCAACTCGCCGCCCGCTTCCCTTTCGGGTTCCACTCGAGCAATGGCTTGTCTAGTGATGTCACTTGATGGTTTCCTCAGCATATGGCCAATCCACCTCCATTTCCTCCTGCCTATTTGTTGTACAATCGGTTCTTGGTTGGTTCGATCCCAAAGATCCCTGTTGCTGATCTTTACTGGCCGGTCACCTGATCTTGAGTATTGAGCGTAGACAACTGTTAATGAAGGTCTGAAGTTTGTTTGAGATGCTCTTTATGACGCGCAGTGCAAGTCTCTGATCCATCCGTATAGTAGCACTGACTTCACATTGGAGTTGAAAATCCGGATGTTATTTTTTATGATAAGTGCTGTTGACCTCCACACAGACTTGAGAGTAATGAAAGCCTGTCTTGCTTTTCTGATCCTCGCTTTGATATCCTCGTCAGTTCCGTCCGCCTGTAGTTGAAACGACGCTTCCCATGTCGGTAGGTAAAGGAGGTTGCTTCTTTCAGGTTCCTCCATTTTTGCTGGCTGATTGCTGTCTGTTGTTGTTGCTGTTGGCGTTGACCAGGAATCTTCATCACCTCTGTTTTCTTTATGTTCACCTGAAGTGCTATCTTTGATGCTTCTTCTGTCAACTTGTTGCTTTTCAATTGCATATCTTCCAGTTTGTGGGAAATCAGACATATATCATCGGCGAAGTCCAGATCCGCCAAGTGTTTCGTTAGGGTCCGTTTTATGCCTGTTTCCTCATTGCCCGCTGTCTGTCGCGTTATCCAATCTGCTGCAATCAGGAAAATCACTGGCGATAGTAGGAAGCCAGCCTTTCTTACTCCCGTCTTCACTTCGAAGGACTACGTAAGTTTCCCGTTGTGCATTACTTGTCATGCGGCATTGTTGTACAACTGTTGGATGAGATGAATAATTGCTGGTGGCACCCTGTAGTAGTGAAGTAGTTGCCGAATCACCTCTCGATAATATGAATAACTAAAATGATAAGACAACTGAGATAGTGCCACTATAAATTACAAATGGGAAAAGATCACAGAGCCGTTTATTTAGCTGAAAACATAGTAAGTCATAAGTTCCACGCTTAACACCATCTCTATCACATAAAAGAAGGGCCAAATAGGAGTATTGTTGGGTTATTCTCCTTATTTGTGACAGCACATAAATTTTTACAACGACTTCTAGTCCTACCTGATGAGATACAAGGGGAGATTTGTGAATAGAAAGGGAACTGAGAGTCAGACTATATAAATTAGGACTAGTTCTTGTCTAGATTACTAGCTCGCTAGTTTTCTTGCCGGTCCCAAGCCAGGATAAAGAGGGAGGATTAGGGCGTGTAACTAGCAACTCCACCCCCGTAAAACAACCAAATCGCTACAGAAACTTCAATGCACTAATATATTAAAAATTCTAAAAATATAAAAAGTAACCTTATTTTCGCTGGAATCGGGGAAGTGAAATGACGCAGGCTGGTGAAAGCTAGCCTTCGGGAAGCCAGTCAGCCGATGTGCCTTCTTTCGATGAAAGCAAAAGTAAGGATGGGTACCTGAAATGTTCGTACAATGTACGAAACTGGAAAGGCTGCCCAGATAGCCGCTGAAATGAGAAGGTACAGAATAGAAGTGTTGGGAATCTGCGAAAGCAGATGGAACGGAACCGGAAGGTGCCAACTACTACCAACTTGAGAGATAATAATCTATTCCTGCCACCGGGGGAGTGGCCATCATGATGTCACCAACAGCAACCAAAGCTCTTATGCAGTGGGAACCAATCTCCTTCAAATCAAAAGGAAGGAAGGTTACAATCATCCAATGCTATGCGCCTAAAAACACCCCAGAACAAGAGAAGAAGGAGGCGTTCTACAGACAATTACAAACAATGATGGACAACGTCTCAAATGGCAATATCAAAATCCTGATGGGCGACATGAGTGCGAAGCTGGGACGAGACAACACAGGAAGAGAACTCACCATGGGTCGTGAGGCCCTCGGTGAAATGAACGACAATGGTGAACTCTTCTCAGACTTCTGCGCCTTCATTGATTTGGTGATTGGTGGCAGTGCGTTCAAACACAAGGAAATACACAAGACGATAGGGATTTCACCAGATGGACACACCAAAGTCCAGACAGACTTCATTTCAATCTCAAGGAAGTGGAGACGGAGCCTACTGGACACAAGGTCGAGGAGAGGAGCAGATGTGGTTTCAGACCACTATCTAGTGCAAGGGACTTTCAAGGTGAAGCTAAAAGCCTCGAGGATAGCTGGGGATAGGCCATAATGCAAGTCCAACACTCAATTACTGAAGGACACAACCACAAAGGACACCTTCACTGAAACTGTCAGAGCAAAGCAGGAAACACTACGCGACATCACTGAAGAATCATGCGTGGAAGAATATTGGAAGTCTCTGAAGGCAGTTCTCAACGACAGGTGTTCAATGGTTCTAGGAAGAAAGAATATACAAGACACGGAATGGCTTTCAACGAACACTTGGAAGCTGATAGAAGAGAGGAGAATGGTGAAAGAGAAAATGATTCAATGCAAGGACGGATAGGAGAAGGAGACAGTGAGCTCAACTTACACAGCACTGGACAAAGAAGTGAAGAAGAGCACCAGGAAGGACAAAAGACGATTCTACGACAACTTGGCCACTGAAACTGAGAAGGCAGCAGGTAAAAGGTACCTGAGGACATTATATCCGATAACCAAGTCTGTATCCGGGATCAACACAGGTGAAACTTATAAAAGACAGCCAAGGGAACCCAATCACCAAGGAAGAAAAACAGATTAAACAATGAGTGGATCAGTTCAAAGGACTCTCGAACTGACCATCACCTGCAACCCATCCAAAAT